ATTCCATCTAACTAGTAAATTTTGTTTTATTAAGCCAATCTAATTTTAAAACTATAAATTAATGTGAACAAATAAAAAATAACAATCACTTAATGTTATTAAAATGAAAAAAACAAAGTTGAAACTAATTGGATAAGTATTAATTAAAAATTATGGTAAAAAATTAAAAAATTAGAAAAGATAAATTTACCAATAAAATTAAAAAATTTCAATCCACTAGTAATTTAGATTCTAACTAGTATCCAATATCTCACATTGCAAAATGAAAATTTTTACCAAATATCTAATTTGTAACAATTTTAAAATAAATAAATTTAATAAACATCTAATCTTAACAATTTAGTAAAATTATTAACTGTTACCTCCAAATTGCTATACTAAATGAGCTCTTAATCTAGTTTAATTAGGCAAAATATTGAGAAAATGTTTAAATGAGATTGTAAACCAAAGTGTTAGTAATGGATTTGGTTACTGAAAAACTAAAATTGTTTTTAAAAAAAAATCAGAAATTCAAATTTTTTTTTTTTGGTTCAAATCAACTTTTCTTATGTCTTTATTAGGAAAAAAAATTGGTACACCCTCTAATTTGATACATATTTAGACTCTTTCTTGGTTTAGTCATTAATTTAATGGATTTTTGCATACTGTATTCATATTTGTATTTTTAATTTTATTTGTCTTTAGTTTTAGATACAAAATAATAATTTTTAATAAATATATTATATAATGTATTAAATTGAAAGATAAACCAATCGGTATGCCAACCAATATTCCTTTTGTTATTTTTTCAAAATTGCTTGCTCTTTCCAATGACAATCACCAAGTCCCTTTTATTCGTCAAAATCATCATTGAGTTTGAGTAGTCTGGTTTCATTCAAATTCCTCATCCATTCCAAACTCTGTCTCTCCACCATAAAACTCTCATTTTCTTTCGTGTATATTCTTTTTTCCTACTACATGGCTATTTCACCTCATAAGTAAAAGAAAAAATGGGAAAAAGGTATGTCTATCCTCCCATTTTTGTTTCTTACATGGTTAGCAAACATCTCCAATCTACAATCTCTTCATAATAAATCTTAAAAAGGAACAAAACGCAACCATAATTGCTGAGCATGGACCCCTTCTCATCTTAAAAAATCTTCTCATCAATATTTCTTTTTGTCATCCTTATAGATCAACTTACCTGTGCCACACAATGGAACTCGGGCCTGTGGTTGTGCAACCTCTATTATCAGCTTCTTTTGAGTGGCTGCTCCAAAAGGTGGATAATTTCACTTCCAGTAGATCCTACAGGTTACAAGGAGAGGTCCACGTGGAGCTCCAAAAATGGAAGTCCTTTTTACCACATATTCGGGATGTGCTCATGGATGCAGAAGAAAAGCAAAGGGCTGTTAATTCCATCAAGACATGGCTTGATGACCTCAAGGACTTAGCTTATGATATGGAAGACATTCTGGAGGAATTCACAACTAATGGCTTGAGGAGTAGCTTGATTGCAGAACCTCAATGTGCTAGCACTACCAGTAGATGCATCCCTGCGTGCTTCTCTTATTTCAAACATAGTGATTCCATGTTTGATTCCAACACCATTTCTAAGGTGAAGGCTATTTCTAATAGGTTGCTGAGCATGACAGGAAGATCAAACACACTCGGCTTACTGAGTTTAACCATGCAAGCTGGAGAATGGCCAGATAAAGTAGATGTTGCGAGGGTGCCCACTAGTTCCCTACCCGATTCTCATGTTTATGGACGTGAAACTGATAAAGTAGCTGTTCTTCAAAAGTTACTAAATAATGAAAGCAGTTCCCAAGGATATTCTGTAATTCCTATTGTTGGGATGGGAGGAATAGGCAAGACCACTTTGGCTCAAAATGTTTACAATGAAGTGGGGCAGGGAAGCTTTGAGCTTAAGGCATGGGTTTGTGTCTCTGATCGATTTGATGTGTTAGGCATTACAAGATCCATTTTGGAGGCAGTATCTAGAGGCCGATATGATTTGAGAGATTTGAATTTGCTTCAAGAAGAATTGAAGAAAGAGTTAACAAGCAAGAAGTTTCTACTTGTTTTAGATGATGTTTGGAATGAGGGTTACAGACAATGGGATACCTTGCAAAAACCTTTCCAATCAGGATCAGCTGGAAGCAAAATAGTAGTAACAACTCGTAGCAAGCGTGTTGCAGAAATCATGGGTGGGAGTGACAGGATTCACTATCTAAAAGAGTTAGACTACAAACAATGCTTGTCAATTTTTGCTCGACATGCACTGGGAGAAGATAACTTTGATGCACATCCATGTTTAAAAGAGGTTGGGGAAGAAATTGTCAGGAGATGTAATGGATTACCGTTGGTTGCAAAAGTCCTTGGGGGCCTCTTACGAGGTAAGCATGGCTTTGAAGATTGGAAATTCATATTAAAGAAGATGTTGAATTTGCAGGAGGTCAAAAGCGAGATTCTGCCATCCTTGATGCTGAGCTACCATCATCTACCTTCTCATTTGAAGCAATGTTTTGCATATTGTGCTGTGTTTCCTAAGGACTATGAATTTGACAAGGAGGAGTTAGTTTTCTTATGGATGGCAGAGGGGTTACTAAGAGAGGAAAATCAATTGGAAGAAATTGGTCAAAGATATTTCCATGAGTTACTTTCAAGATCATTTTTCCAACAGTCCACCAAGAATAAATTACGATATGTAATGCATGACCTCATACATGATTTAGCTGAATTTGTTGCTGGAAGAACTTGCTACAATCTAGATCTAGAGGATATGTCTGAGGTTAATAAAAAATTTGAAGTGAATTTTGGAAAGGTCCGTTATTTGTCATTCTGCCCTCGCCTTTTTGACATCTCTAAGAGGTTTGAAGTTTTGAATGAAATGAAGAGTTTGCGAATGTTCATTCCAACTAATTCTGTTTTTGGTGGGAGTTATTTAGCAAAGACAGTGGTGCTTGATTGGATACCAAAATTAAGATGCTTAAGGGTATTATCCCTTGAGAGTTATAAAATAAGAAAGCTACCGAATTCAATGGGAGATTTAAAATACTTGAAGTACCTTAATTTCTCAAGAACTGAGATCAAAAGCTTGCCCGAATCCATAGGCTCCCTTCTCCAATTGCAAACACTGTCCTTATTCTCCTGCAGGTATTTTTCAAAGTTTCCTGTGAAAATTGGGAACTTAATTAGCCTCCATCATTTGGATATTAGGGGAGCAAATTCCCTAAAAGAGATGCCATCTGGATTAGCTAATCTCAAACATCTTTTGACATTGGGCAAATTTATTGTGGGGAAGGAAAATGGATCCTTGAAATTATCTAATTTGGAGAACTTTTCGCAACTTAAAGGAGAACTATCTATTCTAGATTTGCATAACGTTTCAAATGCTCATGATGCTAAGAAGGCCAGCCTGGACAAGATTGATGGTCTTGATTGGTTGCTCTTGCAATGGACTTCTGAGTTTGGCAATTCTAGGAATGAAGACAAGGAAATGGAGGTCCTTAGCTGGTTAAAACCACATCTAAAATTGAAAAGTTTCTCAATTATATGCTATGGTGGCAACCAATTCCCATCCTGGATTAGTTGTCCGTCATTTTCTAATTTATCATACTTGAAGCTGTGCAAGTGTAGAAGAAGCACTTCGTTACCATCACTGGGGCAATTACCAACACTTAAAGAATTGATTGTGGAAGGCATGGATGCAATAGAAACGGTGGATTCTAAGTTTTATGGGCACGGTACTTTTCAATCTCTTGAGAAGATGGAGTTTCGTGACATGTTATCTTTGAAAGAATGGACTTCAACAATAGAAAGCGGAGTGGGATTCCCATGCCTTTCTGAGCTTGTGATTGAAAATTGTCCTAAGCTGATCGGAGAATTACCTAGCCACTTGTCTTATCTTATAAATCTTGTAATCAGAGGATGCCCAGAGTTAAGATGCCCATCATCTATGAGTCCTCAATCACTACAAAAGCTGAATATTGAAGACTGCGATGTGGCCCTTTTGAATAGCATGGCTGATCTCACCTCTCTTACTAGCTTGGAAATTAAGAGAATTTCAGGTCTTGTTTGCTTGCCTAAGGGTTTTATTGAGTCCTTGATAGCCGTTAAGAAGGTGGAGATTAAAGAATGCTTCGAGCTTACTTGTTTATGGGAGGAAGGTGCTGAGATAGAAAACCTTAATCGTCTTGAGATAATGAATATTGAGAGCTGTCCTCTGCTTGTTTCATTGACGAGGAAAGAGCAGGGCCTTCTTCCTTTCAATCTTAAATATCTCACCCTCTCAAATTGTGCAGCTCTGGAGTCGTTAACTGATGCGATGATGATGAATGTAGATGGAAGCAGTAGCAGCAACAACACATTGAGACTTGAATCATTAAGCATCTACAATTGTGATTCTCTCAAGTCTTTACCCAACACTACGGTTAAACACTTGACAATTAATGGATGTGTTAATTTTGAGTTTTTACTAGATGGAGTATTATTGCAAGATGATGGTGACAGCAATATCAATCTTGAATCTTTGAAAATAGAGAAACTTCCATCTCTAAATTTTGTTGGGAGTGGTCATCTGCCAGCTTCTCTCAAAAAATTTATTGTTGAAGATTGCAAGAGGTTGGAATCATTTCCAGAGAGGCTGCTGCAACATTGTATGGGACTTGAATCCATACGAATTGGGGATTGTGAAGTATTGAGAAGCTTATCACTTGATGGCCTCAGCAATCTTCAAGATTTGAACATTGACGGATGTGCAGTTTTAGAATTCTTGCCAGAGATGGGTCTCTCCTTGCCCAATCTTAGGTCTTTGAGAATTGCAGTTTGTCCAAGGTTGGAGCGCATTCCTGATGGGGGTTTGCCCCTAAACTTAACAGATCTTACATTAGAAAATTGTCGAAACCTCAACTCCCTACCAAATACAATGAATGAGTTTACATCGATTCAAAAACTGTGGATAAGAGATTGTCCAAGCATCAAATCCATTCCAGATGGGGGTTTTCCCCCAAACTTAACAAATCTTAACTTAGACGGTAAGCATCTGAAGCAGTTGGAACTGGGACGGGGCCTCCGCAATCTTACCTCTCTTCAAAGCTTTAGCATTTATAACACATGTCCTCCTCTTCTGGATATTGTGCTTCCTTCTTTAACATCTCTCTGGATACAAAATGCAAAGAATCTGAAATCCATACCCATAGGGCTCCTCCAAAACCTCAACTCTCTTCAAGAATTATGGATTTATTTGTGCCCAAAGCTACAGTCCTTGCCGAGGAAAGGCCTGCCTCCGTCGCTTGGATCTCTCTGGATCGATGGATGTCCTCATCTAAAACGACAACACTTTGAGGAGAAAGGAGAATATTGGTCTCTCACCCGTACCATCCCTAACGTCCAAATAGATGGTTATCAGGTAAAACCTACACTCAAACTCACACTCTGATGTAGATACCAACAAGGATAGCCTCTTCTTCTTCTTCTTCTTCTTCTTCTAATTGTTGGAAGCTAACTTTTCTTACACATATCCTTCAGCTATAACCACCAAAGCCAAGGCTTACTTGTGTGAAATCTGGAGTGAAGCTACAGACTTATTGTTCAGGTATTTTCTTTTCTTTTTAATAGCTTAAATTATAATTTATTTGCATATATTGTTGCCCTACTTCTCTATTTATTGATAAATTTGGAGAGCTTCATTCCCTTCCCAACTCTTCAGCTTCAGATATTTCTATCTTAAAAATTAGGGTGGTGGCTATATTAATGCATCTTACAAAAGCAAATAACCATAATACGATGTATTGTTGAGAATGATGTCCTTTTATTGTTGTCATTTTTTCTTATATACTATTCTTTGGCCTAGGTTGTGATTTGTGAATTTGTTCTTCCTTTTAGATGCATTGTAGAATTGATTGTAAAGCAGGGCAAATTGACAAATTCTTTGAAATATAAGTAAATGAGTTTCAAATGTTCTTTTGAAAGGAAAGATTAGATGCTGGATGTTAGATTATATTAATCTACGTGTTCTATCATGCTCCAGCAAATAAAAAAGAACATTGGGGGATGAAATAAGTGAGAAAAGCAATCTACAAGCATGCACCTTGCTCTGCTAAGGCATTTGCACATTGATTTGCCTCCCTGAAGGCTAAAGCAGCTAACCTTTTGAATCCCCTCGAAATTCTTTATCAAACTCTTGCCTCAGCAGTATTGCAGCCCATCAAAGCCTTTGCATTGGTATTTGGTAATGCTTGTCAAGGGTTACTAACAGTTTTATCTTAATTAGGTACCATATTGCTGCCAGAACACTACTTGGGAAACCCATATTTTTGAAGATAGCTTCCTTGTAGATAACTCCATGATTCCTGCACCTGGACTAAGTTTGCAAATTGTGTGTGCAAAACCATCTTTACCATTTGATCTAGGGTGGGGAGCCTGCCAGATGGGCAAGTAGACCAAGCTGTTGTTCTTTGGCAATGTTTAATTCTCAGTTATTTCCAGTTAGCTTAAACAATTGTAAGTGCAACTTTGCAAGAGCACCATTTTACTTCTGAATACTATTAAATTGTCTTCTAGTTCTAGGTTGCACCTTATTTTTTTTTATCTCACTGTTTTCTTAATTCATCCACAACCTGTGTAGGTGCAACACCACTGTTCAAATTCTTAGATTCTGCACCTAATCAGAAGACATATTCAACATCACTTTCTAAAAATCTCTTTAAATGTTCCCCTCAGTTTTTTTTCTCCAACTTCCCCTAACTTATATTGAAGACAATTTAAAGATATGAAGATGGATGTCTGGTGTCATGCTACCTTCTAAGTAGGAGGCAACATTTCTGGCAGTAGCTAAGAGATGAACAGTCCAATAATGTTCATCCTTACTGGCAAGTGTAGAGAGCACAAGACAGCCGCATTGACCACTTCTTTGTTTAACTATGGTCTTATTTGGGGATTTAGTTTTGACATTAATGTAATGTGAAGACAACAAGAGGTGCCTCTCGCAATGTTGTTAAAGGCAAAAAGTGAGGCGAAGCGATGGCCTAAAAAATGCTGAAGCGATGAAGCGAGAAGCGAAGCATCGCTTCTTTAAAGTGAAGCGAGTAACACTGTGAAGTGATCAGTTATTAAATAGAATAGAACTAATTAGAATAGAAACTCAAGAGTATTAAGAGTGGAAAAGTAGAATATGGTGCAAGTAATAGGCTTAAATTAAATTCTATTTTACTGAGTGCAACTAGAATTAAATTCTGTTTTGAAATTAAAATTCAAGAGTCTTATAAAGTGAAAAATTGACTATTTCAATTTATACCATACAGATGATATTACGTTTCTTAATCAAGGTCTCCTAGACTAGATAGATCTAAATACTATAAGTTTACCAACAAGAAATAGAACTAAAAGATAAAGGAGGGATAAAGAGGAATTGCATAGAATTAAGACAATACTAGAAAATTCTGTTAATATTTACATGAAACTTTATCTTAACTAAATTAAAATAATCAGTTGATAGAAAAAAAAAAAAAAAAGGAAGAAGAAGAAGAAGAAGAAAGAAAGAAAGAAGAGAATATGTCATAAAGTTGGGGAAGAGGATGAAAAGTCAAGGAAGACATAAAGATGGGAAGGAGAATATGCAAATTAGAAAAAAAAAAAAAACAAGAAAGGACTTTCCTATAAATGGAAGATGAATTGATGAAGTTAAGACTCAGGAAGATGACAAAGTCAGGACTCAGGAAGATAATGAAGTCAAAAGACAATGGAATTACAAAGAAAATTAGGGGAAGAGGTAATCAGTAGGCACACAGCTTTTTGTTTCTGTCCTAATTGGAGTCAAAATTTCAATTTAAACCCTTAATGCTTCTATACTTTTTGTCATTTTGTGTCGTTTTAAAAAAGTGATCGCTTCAACATCAAAGCGCTTTTATCGCTTCAGTCACTTTGGGACCGCTTCTTTTAAGTAGAGTGCTTCAGAGATTTTGAAGCGGTGGTGCCTCTGATCGCTTCGCTTCATCGCTTTAAGCGGTGAAGCGATTGCTTTTGACAACACTAGCCTCTTAGTACCCATCATTGTCATAGCAACAAATTTCTCCTGGTAATGCACAATCCTCTTTTATGACATTTTGATCTCTCTCAGTTTGTTTCTCTAATGCTGCAATGCATCTCTTCGGTTTCAGGTTAAGACAATTCAACCATAAGAGGCTTGCCTTGTAAATTTTAAAAATCTCCAATTATGTGATCCTATGGACGTCATTGCTTGGAAGTCCTGACTGCTTTCTTCTCTTCAGCTGCATTCACTGAAGATATCCATCAAGGTTGTTGTTATTGTTGTTGTTGTTTTCTTCTTTTTCTTTTTCTTTTTCATTTTTAATCTAATATGTTAAATGTCTGCAAATCTGCTACTTTTTTATATTTCCCGATGCATACATACATTGATCACTTGGTAACTCTAAACTATCTTTGATATATATTGGTAACGTCTTCCCAGTCATAATTTCCAAAGATATATGTTTTCTTATTGAATTTAAGATGTTTGTCATAGAGAAAACATGCACCTATCTCATGATCGACGTTCTTTAATGCTTTATAGCAGGGTTTTGAAGCTGCTATTGCAGTTGGAGCCAAGGAAGTAACTGCAGCTGCCTCAGCTTCAGAGTCTTTTTCAAAGTCAAAAACTAAGTCAAGTATTGAAGATAGTTTTACCCATTGTTATGGTGTTATTTCGGCTACAAGAGAGCTTTCAATTCCTGTTCATGGGTAGGTTACTAACTACCGTTGAAATTGCCCTATATTCCTTGGGAGGAAAGAGGAGGAAAAGGGGTAGAAAAGTTAGTCTTATTTCAACCCATTGAATTCTCAATCAGTTTAATCGTCAACTTTGCAGACATTTATCATGTGTCATGGGTTGCCCTGTAGAAGTAATGGTGTCTCCATCAAAATTTGCATATGTGGGCAAATAACTTTGTGATATGGGTTGCTATGAAGTATGAAATTTCTCTTGGTGGTACAGCTGCTGTTATCACACCTGGTAATCCTTAGAACTGTATTCTGTTTGGAATCCCACATTATTTGTTTATATCTTACCTTGGGTTGGGAGGGGGGCAGTAGGGGTTCTGTTGGTTTAGTTTGAAACATGATAGTGATTTTCATGCACACAAATAACATGAAAACTTCTTCTAAATCCATTATCTGATACAGACTGATAGATTATATGTTGGTTTTAATGTGTCATAATCTCAAATTTATTTTTTTTACTTTTGGGGTTAACTTAGATTTGATATTTTTCTTTTGTGCCATGTTTGACGGAAGTTACGTGGAGCAGCTTAGGTGGCAGTAGCAGTATATCAGTGCCATCAAGCTGCCCAAGTTCAGTTTGGTTAAACTGAAACTAACCAAACTGTTTTGTGTCCTTTTCTAGTCATATTTCTAGTTGGAGCCATGTGATGATGTGTATTATTTTGATGATAAAATATTGTTGTAAAAGAGCTCCTTAGCTTGTATTTTTTGAATTTCAAAATTTAAACTCTCTATGTACAAATGCTGGAAAACTGAAATGGAAACTTGATTTCAGCTCTTCAATGTCTCTCTCCATTTCTTTGAGAAATAACCGAACAATGTTGAAGGAACTGTCATTTAAATGCTTAAAGCTGTTCTTGATGTTGTTCCAATTGATAAGCTTACTGTCTATTTCCATGATACTTATGGGCAAGCCCTTTCGAACATTTTAGCATCTCTTCAAGTATGCATTCTTTCTCATTTTCAATCTTTTATGATTGCTTCTCAACATGTTCATTTCCTTGTCAAGATGATTGTCAGATGCATGTCTTTTTGGCTATTGCTATAAATTCATGTATGCATTACAAGTGAAAATGCTTTCCATGTTTTTACAGATGGGGATCAGCACCGTGGACTCGGTCAGTTTCAAGTCTTGGAAGTTATCCATTTAATCCTACAGTCCTATCAGGAGATGTTACAACTGAGGTTGTTGTTTAGACGCTAAATGGACTTGGAATAAAACCCAATGTGGATCTTGAGAAACTCATGTCTGCTGCCTACTGGAGATTTTATCTGTGAGCATTTGGGAAGGACATCAAGTTCAATAAGGAACCCAAGTCTTGTAGTCTCAGTACTTCTTATCACTGACTTGAATTATGCTCTTGATCAAATATATCCTCTGTATCTAGAATGGTGGATGAGAAAGTCAATTGACTTGTTTCAGGGTGCAACTTTGACACAAATAACTAGTTTTTGTGGGTAATCCATTGATTGCTTTGGTTTTGTCCATGTTGAATGTGAAATTTGGGAGAGGAACGATTATTTCAAATTCTAATAGATATTATGTGGCTGATTCCAAGGCCATTCTAACACGAAGAACATAATGAGTTCAATGACTTTTTTTGCCTATAAATAGCAAATGGACTTTGTGTATCAGTCATTAACATAAACACAATATGTATAGTTGAATAATATACAGAAACACAGTTTCATACCTATCTATTCTCTTAATACTTAGATGCTAGACATTCTCACTCAATCGAAGGATAAATTCTATATCACTTTCCAAAGTTTCTTACTTCAAATGTTTACCTTATTTTTGCTAGAAATGGAATTCGCAGATTTTGGACTAACTTCTCTTACATTATTGGAGACAAATAATGGATGTCAAGGTGGACGGTCTGGTGTTCATGCTACCTTCTAGGTAGGATGTGATGTTTCTGGTAAAGTAGATGAGAAATGTTCAACCCAATCCAATAATGTCAACTTATTTCATCCTTCTCATCTCTGATGTTTCTTCTCATGTAAGAGGACCTTCTGGCTATCAAAATCGCTAAAAACCAAGGTTAGAGTTCAAGACAGCTGCATTGAGCTTGTTTTGACATTAACGTATTGTTGACAACAAATGGTGTGTCCTGGAATCTGTCATAGTCATGGCAACAAATTCACCATTCATTTCAGGGAGGTAATATAATCCTCCTTTATGACACTTAGATCACTCTCAAGATGTTTCCCTTGTGCTGCCATTCTTCTCTGCAGTTCCAAGTTAAAACATGTTCAACTCTATTCTACTGGAATCCTCAGTTAGAGACTTGCCTTGTATGTTTAAAAATGCTCTTGATCATGTGATTCCATGGACCTCATAACACGGAAATGCTTACTGCCGATTTCAGCTGCAGTCGGGGTCGGTGCAGTTATTCCTCCTCTCCAGGTATATGTTTTTTTGGTCTAATATTTTAAAATTGTATGCAAATCTGCTGATTCCTTATATTTCCAGATTCAAACATACATCTTAGCCACGCAACAAATTTCTTGCTAGCAAAAAAATTTGTCCCAAGCAATAGAAAAGGTTACAAGTTTTCCCCCTGTTATGACATTTAGATTTTTATCACCCTCTTTTCAGACAATATAATCGAACAATAAAAAGGTACGTCAAAGCAATCTTGTGTAAGAGAACCCCTCTCGGTCCAACAGCAATCTAGGCAGCAGCCATGACTGCAGGACCTGTGAGGAACCGGACAGCCATGGCAAAGGCAGCAATTGTGTTTCCACGCAATGACTTTTGGCTCATGTGCACACCCCAAATTTTGAAGTTGACCTATTTATAAAAAATATTTATTACACCTTTATTATTTCTTTTATTTTTTATTTGTAACCTCAATGAGTTAATAAACTTAATTAAACCGTATAATAAATGTTTTTTTATAAAAATTTATATTAATAAGTACAAATTAATTTTTAATTTATTAATCATTTAATTAAATTCATTTATTTAATATTAACATTAAAATTAATATTAAATTTTACTTTATTTTATATACATTTATAATAAAAAAGTGACTTCAACAAATACTCTAAAAAGCATAAATTAAAAAAAATTTAATATCTACTGTC